CCCGACCTCGGCCCCCCCCCGGGGCTACACCCCACTTAGATGATGCTCAGTCCATCTGCTACCGGCTAGGCCTGGCTGGTGTCCCCATTGAATGGTGCCAGGGCCTTAAGGACCTGTTTTATTTATAAAAAAAAAAAAAAAAAAAAAAAAGACACAATATTGAATTTACCTGGGCGGGTTAGTCCGATGATAATACCTGAAGGCCATCGCCCTTTAAATTTAAAACAAAAGATTTTCTTTTTTGTTTTTTGTTTTTTTTTGACCCGGCCAGGCAAGTGGGCCCGGGCCACTCTGGTAGCCTAGGTGTGAGGGTAATGCCGCTACCTACAGGTCAAGACTGATGTCCCAGACACCTTTTTGAGGCTATTTCTCATGCCCAATTGGACGGAAAGAAAAATATGTACGACTGTACTTCAAAATGATCAGTTCCTTAGGTGTTCCACTCTTCTGTATCTACAAAAACAGCAACGAAAAAATAAAAAAAGGGGAAACTGCCGCTGGTACGGCGCAGGAGCACGTGCCATGCCGCACGCCGCGCGGCACACTGGACGGTACGACGCACGGTGCGGTTGCAAGTATGGTTAATCGGCATGGTTGACATTTGGATGGCCACAGGTTTTTCTGCCCTGTCTGGAGGGGGGGTTGGCCCAATTTTTCAAGAGGTAGTGCTGGTTCAAGAATACAGTAATAGACCAAGGGGTCAGTTGGTATAGGAATATATACCGCTGGGTCAGTTGGTCACAAGTATGGTAACACACCCTTTTTCTCCAAACAGCTCTTAACAGAATGCATGTGGACCAGTGGTCGGTCAGGTGCACCGTGCACTATCTGTACAGGTATGCGTAGATGTCCGCTTCGGCAGAAGTCAGCTCGAAAATCCAGACAAGAGGAGTGACCACCTCCTCCGGTAAGGAATTAATTCTTCCAACACCCCTTCAGAAGGAATATGAGCGAGAGCAATATAAAGAAAAGCAAGTTGGAAAATCATGCAGAACTCCAGATAGTCATGTAACAAGCAGAGAGCTCAGTTGCACCAAGATTCCATCCAAATAAGAGCAATACAATGAACTTGTGAGCCAATGTTCAAGCCCTCAGGCCACACCAACGCATTATTCAATGTTGCTCCTCTTGTCTGGCGCCCAGCGCCCAGCCTACTCTACTCGTCCTACCTAGCCTATCTACATTCATGCAATAGGCTCACTTCGACTTGGAAGACCAATGTACATGACGTCAACACCAATGCCGACGTACTCTCAACTCCACTCACCATCCCCTGTCCACCCACATGTGCGCCGCCTCCTGAAGACCACCATCGCCTCCACCAGGCCTCGTGCCCTGCAGCCCGGCTATGAACGCTAGCGCCCCGCTGCCCTGCAGAGCCCCTCACCACTCAGCACCGCGCGCACCCCAGCCAGCAGTAGCGCATGCAGACACTTGCGCACAATCGCAGCAGCATGTCCGCATTGCCTGCCTAGGCCAGAATGCCAGAGCCTGGCTGGCCTCCTCCCTACATGGGAGAGGTTGCTGCTGCTGGACTGTCTCTGCCTGGCCGTGGAAGTTTCCAGTAGCTTTCGGTCGAGCCCCAGTGTCTGCGCCCAGGCCCCAGTCTACAGTTGAGGCCCTTTTCAGTTGGGCACACCCAGGATTTTCCATGCTCCGAATGTTTGCTGTGTTTTCATTGGCCCGTGGGATAGAAAAGACGACCATGATGCATTCTCATTGGCCTGTGGCCACTTCGTGATGTGTCGGCCTCACACTGCGTGTGCCCAGGCCTCAACCACCTGCATCCTGGGCTCAACTGCCTGACGCAGCTGCTGCTTCTGGAAAAGCCCATGGTGAGGCCAAGGTTGCACTTCAACCAACTGGCGTGCAGCAACTGTCTGAGACCCACATTGGAAATTGCTGAGATAAGGGCCTCTCGTGAATATTCAGAACCGCCTTCACTTAGGGCGGGCACGAGGCTTGCTGGGGGCCACAGTCAGAACATATGCATGTTGTCTAGGGGGCCCTGAGAACACATTCCTCACACCTTTCTCAACAACATAGTAAGCACAAACCATCACTCCATCCAGTCCTATTTTGACAAACCAAACGTCGCATTTCCCTGAGCCTAAGATCTACAGTGTCGCCCTGAGGAAAAGTGATTGTGCGACCGAGCCTGGGCACCGTACATTTGTATTTCAACAGTTCATGTGTCAGATGTGTCCACCAACTGAGCTAGGCCAATTGGTATATATATATCGTCACAAATAGAACTGCCCGGTAAACCGTAGGCAGAGAGAGAGAAGAGGACAACAAACGAGGGGCTGTGACAAACTGTATGTGACAAACTGTATATACATATATATCGTCACAAACAGAACTGCCCGGTAAAACCGTAGGCAGAGAGAGACCGGTAAAACCGTAGGCAGAGAGAGAGAAGAGGACAACAAACGAGGGGCTGTGACAAACTGTTTCGTCGGAGTTTCACCGACTCATCAGGAGGCTGAACCCTCAACAGTCTGCAGAATCCCCTCACTGATTACACTGTAAATG